GCAGCAGCAGCGGCAGCAACAACAACAACAACAACAAAAACTAAAAAGGTAGAGTATGCAAACGTAAGAAGAATGAGGGCAGAGTGTATGAGAACCTGGGGGAAAGACTGACAAAAGAGATACATTCAAGCTGGAAAATAAATGGGTGCGTCGCAAACTGCCAAAAAAAACAACAACAACAACCCCGAACTTATAATCTTATATTATGTGTATACTGGCCTAATACATGTAGTTGGAAATCTTTACATTTGGGTCACGTCTCTGTAACAGGTCGGCACATCAACTGATTAGATGCTCCATTACTGGAGAGGGGGGGGGGGGCATTTTAAAAATAGTTTTCCTAATTTCTTTTTAAAAAATTAGATTTAAAAGCTGCTTCCACATAGTGTATCTGTACCCTCATATACCAATTTTCCCCCCTAAATTTTGGTGGGTAAAGTATGTTTGTCGTTTGAAGAATTTCTTTTTAATGCTGAAAATGCTAATGCATACATATTCCAACTTAAACTAGATATCTAGGACTAATTGCTACATAGCTTACGACAAGTTACATCGATCGAAATAAACAATTTCAACCTCGATTGATGTGAGAGCTGGGCTATGAATAGACACACACACAAGCACATTATGTCTTATAACAGTTCATAAACCCAATCTCCATCAGCTTTTTTGAAGGAAACAAAAGCAATAAGTAGGTGATATGATCTGGCCCAATGAAAAAAAACATGTTGCAACTCGTAGACATCACAAAGATCATAACAACTTGCCAAAATGTAAAAAGTTACAGTAAATTCTAGAGCTCTACCTGTCAAAAGGAAGTCTAGGCGCTGAAGCAAAAAAAAAAAAAGAAAAAGAGTTTTATAATACCTCGGCCCAGAGATAGACACAGACTTCGAGGAAATTGGATGGACAAGTAGATGGATATGGTATGATCACACTTGCCCCAGAAAGTACGTACGTGAGTCTTGTTTATGTTCCACCCCTAAAAAACACAAACATATACACAAACACACACACTCTTACATACACATATTGTCATATTCTCTCTCTCTCTCTCTCTCTCTCTCTCTCTCTCTCT